TTTCTTTACATTAAATCGTTAAGTTTTAAATTTTCATAATTGCGTTATTTAAATGAATGACGAATTTTTAACCTACTGAAGTTCCACACTGATGTGTCTATCATGACAAGTTTCATTAAATTTATTTTTTATTTTCAGTAAAAAGGGTATATTCTATCTACGGGAAACTACCCACCTACATTTGTCCTCCTTTTTCCATTCCCTGTACAAATTGACCCCATAACCTATAATGCCCAGAGAACTTAATTATCCCTGTTATTTCTACGAAACGTAAAGATCGGCGCTCTTCTATATAACGTAAGCGAAATACATTCGTGTTTAGTAGTCGAACACTTTCACAGACTGCTGGCGAACCTGATGTATCTCCATCGTCGCGCGATTAATCTTCCTCTCCGCGGAAGAAACGCAAAATCTCGAGGGATCTCGTGCAAATATATGCACCGAACGAGATCGTGAAACGCGTGACCAAGTTTTCGCAAGAGGCTTAGCAACGATCGGGTCTCTCTCGCGTACCGGCCAAGTATATCGAGTGGACAGACACGAAGGAAACGAGCGTGGAGAAATAGAGGAGCAATCATGCTAGTCGGCTATATTTGCCCGGTGACGTAAGGGGACTTTCGCGATGCACTCTTTCCACTTCCTGTTGCCACATCGGCGAGGGGGAAAAAAGAAAAGAAAGACGAGACACACTCTAGGTTTCTACCGACCGACAGCCGGAGAGCCATCCCATTTCCCGATGACGAATCAAAGACAAAGTTGGAAACGTTGTTTCGCCTGACAGCCAAATGATGGTATAATCCAGAGGAAAATCATATATTCAAATTTCAGCTGGTATACTTCATACGTACATGCATTATGTTAGACGTAGAAATTAATTTCGTTCATTTATGAACTAATTCACTGATTATTTATAAATTCATGTATTTCATGTATTTTTATATACATATCTGACGTTAGATATGTAAAAATATAGATATAGATATAATTCAATAAATGAAATTAATTTTCACATCTGATTCAGTGATTGTCTATGAATTAATACATTGATTTATTTCTATATAAACGATCTATTAGCAGCTTTGCTTTTGGATCGTTCCGATAAGAAATTGTTGCAAAACAAGTCCTTTTTTCGAACTCTCAGTTAAATGATTGTCCAATTTTCTTTCGAATTTTCGCAGAGGCATCGATTAATTTCTACTTCTAATATATTCCTATACACATCCAGCTTTCTACTTTCCATATTTCTATCTCTACTATATTTAATTATTCCTAACTAATTGTAAGTGAGCCGACACTCGTATATCGTTCAGTTCATTATTTTCTAACAATACACGAACCTAGCACTCTATATTCTCAGATGGAACGTATAGCGAATTGAAATCTGTATTTATTATTTTAATTCTCGAATCTACAATGTCTCGTGTAACTTCAAACGTCACACTTCTGTGAAATTTAATTATTCCTAACTAATTGTAAGTGAGCCGACACTCGTACATCGTTCAGTTCATTATTTTTTAAATATATTCTCTCTATATTCTCAGATAGAACGTATAGCGAATTGAAATCTGTATTTATTATTTTAATTCTCGAATCTACAATGTCTCGTCTAATCTCAAACGTCACACTTCTGTGAAACTTATGCATCAATACGTATCAAACAATTGACAAAAAAAAAAAAAAAATGATTAAATTGAGAAAATATTAAATCGAGAAATCCAATTTAAAGATCGGGTCCCGGTTTTAGACTCGACTGATTTTAGACATGTTGTCAGTGTGAATCATTAATAAGAAACTGATCAAGGATGGACGAACATTGTTATTGCTTATATGTATGTATATATAAATTTTCGGATTCTCGGTCGTTCGTCGGACAAACGTCTGAATAATTGAGACGATTCGTCTCGTATCGGAGACGTCAAATTTGCCAGCGGCGCGACTCTCGCCCCGCAGAAATTTCAATTGTAATCCGATTTCGTTTCCACCAGCCCACTCGGTGGTGCATCGCGCCCCGATTACGGAACACGAGGGGGAGGGACGTATATATTCATCGACGGCGGTTATTCCCCACAATAGCAGTTCGCTGGCAGGAAATTAACGAAAGATTAGCGCGACTCGACACACAGAAACGTCTCGACTATTCTCATCGCGCTTCCGCCATTTCACTCTGACTGAATTTGATTCGGATAGCTTCGCCGATTGATAAAATTATTCCGTCGATTCGCCGGTTATATCGCCGACGAAATTATAACCACGGGCCAATTTGGGAATCGCCGTTTGATCCGTGACTCGTATAATCTGAAGCTAACGATCAATCTCCGCACAGTATGTACATCGATAACTCTCTCTCTCTTGTCAGGAGATATTTCGTTTCAAGGAAGAGTCAGAAAAATTGTTCTCGATAGTAGTTTCTTCGCACGTAGATTAACACGCACGCGTGTGTCTATATTAAAAAAAATATATACTTGATATTGATATATTACGAAGATATTCTTTCTCTGTATCAATACACATGTATTGATCAATCAACATACATACTACATATCGAGATATCAAACAGATAATACACACAAAGATACTTCGAGAGAAGAGAAACGAAAAGGCCACGATACACTTTACTATCTTGAATTTCTAAAACGCTGCTGAAAGAAAGAAAGAAAGAAACGAATTGCGACCGAAATTTCGCAACATTTCAACGACCACCAGTCTCTCCGTCAGGTTCCATCGTCATGGTATTCGCATCGCGCAAAGCTGGAAAGATCCCAGACTTCGTTCCATCAACAACCAGCACCCTCTTTCGCTACATAGTCAGCACTTCCTTCCTCCGTGAAATATCCCTCCTACGAGCTACGATTCTTTGCAATCTGCCACCCTCTCCCTCTGGTCGAAACCAGAAGAGAGAGGCTCAGCCCAGACCAGGCAACGAGTCTTTTGTTTGTGGACCGGTTCTTCTTGGTTCTTCGAATCATTTATTCCCCATGGCGCGCCTGCCTGCCTTTCTATCCAGATATCTCTCCGTCCTTCCCACACCCAAGCTCTCCTTCTTTTATTTGTTTCTTATCCCCCTTCGACCCATTCCGCCCTTAACTTCTTCCTTTCCCTTTCACGGACCAAAAAGGTCTTCTTTTTTTTTTTTTTTCTACAGGCCCCTGTCCTCCGCAGTCGCCCTGTCCCTGGAGGGACGATGCACTTTAAGACGGCCCTAATTCCACACGGACGCAGTCTTTCTTTCTTTCTTTCTCTTTCTTCGTCGCTCTCGTTTCGGTGGGTTTGATCAATGAACCCAATTCAAGGCCTAGACCTTGTCGCCCGAAACCTTCGAACGTGCCCTGCTACGACCCTAAATAACCCGCCATCTCTCATCGAACTGAACGAAGGATACAGAGTCGTGAAGGGGGTGTTTTCGCTCTGTTATTCTATTCGCTTCGCGGGTGAGATGTTTGATTTGAAACGGGGGCCTTTCGTTGAAACAAACTCGCGTGTCACGTTGCTACAAGTGACGAATCTACTATGAAAATTTAGAAGCTGTTTTGTGAATTATCAAGCTTGAAAGAGGAATCACGAAAGATAAATTATTTCAGTGTCATACTGACAGTGACGATACAAATATGGAACCTGTTTGAAAAGTTCTCACGTTTCAGAAAATTATCGTACGTCGCGCTGGTACGAAATTCGTCACAAAAACTTGAAAAGCTGCTCTGGAAATTATCGCACTTTCAAAAATTATTTACTTAAAATCTGAGATCTAATAATACTCGAAAGTCTAGAAACGCTGGAATTTCACGCTGACAAACAGACAGCTGACATTTATGGGAATTTAAGTGGAACAGAGATGCAAAACAGAGATTCTCATCGATGGAATCGCGGCAAGAGTGAGCGGGCTCTGCTCTCAATAAAATATTTTCTCACGTGCACCGCTCTTTGCGCCTTCGAATTTCAAAAAACATTCAACTTGAAACAGTTCCTACCTTTTTCCAGATGCTGCGAGATCGGGCTCTGTATCCTAGGCGTGGTTTGCAGCTGCGTGGCGTTTCCGGGACGTCCTCGCGGCCTCCTTCCGGGTCGTGGCTGAAATGCAAACGAGAAAAAGGAGATGAACTAACGTCCAGAACGATCTGCTAAAATCTGGAGCTCGTCGAAAACGAAAGTATCGCCAAGAGAAAGCAGAAACACGCGTGGACTTTTTTCGGTACGTCTCTGTGTGTTTGCATCCGCACACGGACGAATGATCGTTAGGCTCCTCTTTTGTTGCAAGCTCGTAAAGTCACGCGACGGGCAGGCAAAACTTGGACAGGGTGTTGCGAATGAAACAGGGGTGTGCAGGCGGTCCGCGTCTTTGTTCGACCGGCGCATTTATTACCGTAGATAAACGCGACAGCGTGGCACGGTGTTAGAGATAAACGCCGCCGCGCTAAACTTACCCTATACTGGGTGATCCCGATCACCCAGGGAATCAGAATCTCAGCGACCAAAATCGCCTCGAAATCTCAGATCTACGCTCTTACACTTGGCGATCTTTTGACACTCAATTGCCAAATTGTAGCAAATATGAATATAAATATATAAATATTTCAAATCACGAAAAACAACATGAATGACGCTAAAATCGCGACAATTGTCTCGATATGGAGCAAACTTCGATCAGAGGGAGAGATAAAGATTCATCGACTCGTTAAAGTTTCATGTAGAGTGGTGACCACCATACTAGCAAAAGTTTTTACTAATAAAGAACCTACCATACTGAATATCACAACGATTACTACACCTGTCTCGAATATATATTTGTATCATACATATTACGCAACTTGACACTCGACTGCAGAAAAATGTGAATATCACGAAACTACGGGGAAAAAAATTTCAAAATCCCAAAAAGTACAACATCGAGATAACATAAATTGCACGAAAATTGCAATAACAGTGAAGTAATCGATGTCAAACAAATTCTATCATCGTTTTCGCGAGACAGAGGCAAACAAGTTCGTCGACTCGTTAAACCCTTGCGCTGGCGACTGGTTCGCGGACCATAACGAGTGACCAAATATATACTACAAAGAATTCGTCGCTTTCTTTTCTTTCTATTTCGTTGGCACGACATCACTGAGATCATAGAAATTACTGAGGAATAACAAATTTATTATGTTTCGTCTGGGTTATATTTATACAATATAATATATTATACTTAAAACCGAGAAAATATTGCAATTTTCGGAAACGAAAGGTCCTCGACGTGCATGGCACGCCGTGACGTTAAAAGTTGGATCACCCTGTAGAACAGTGGCGTAAAGAGGCCACCAGGTACTCGGCTGACTGGGCAAAGAAAGGGAACAAGAAAGAAGGCGGGGACGTAGGCGAATTTACGAGCGGAGGAGAGGATACGCGGCTGGATTATCGGCTCGGTGAATATTCTCGAAGGGTGGAGACGCCTCGAGAGAAATTAAAAGCCAGTATCGGCCGTGAATATACGAAAATGGTGATCGGAGGGGATCGCCCCCGAAGAAGAGATTCCGCTGATAACGACTTGGCTTCTTTGAACCAAGCGGATGAAACTAACTCGGAGTTTTTCAACGAACGCGAGGGCGTTCCTCTTCGAGGAAGGACTCGACGAAGTTGTCCATCGGTCTGTGAAACGAGTTCAAACGAAGGGCCATTCGGAACGGGGCATTCCTCGACTCGATTACTCGACGATTTTCTTGCGAATGCTGCTTCTTGTAAACTAACGAACAGCTCTCAGAACTTTGGTTCCTCCTCGACGGGGCGAGAAACACGCTCGCACTTGTATTTGTGCGAATGTAATTTCCGCGTGTATTTGTTACAAAAGTTCTCGTTCTCGGCTGACGAAGCGAAAATGAATGATTCTACAGTGAAATTTGTGTTGGACAAAATTACATAGTAACTAAGATTACTCGTAAAAAATTTGAAGACACTGCGAATACTTTGATGGTGTATAACATTAATTTCGTAATGTATAAATACGTCGAGAATATGCAAACTCGTTATAACACTTGGTAAACGAAAAGGAATTATATTTGAATTATAAATTTCCTATAAATATGAAAATCTACGATCTAATGATTCTAAAAACAATTTGATAATATATAAATAAGTCGAAAGTATACAAAGCCGTTATGATGTTTAGTAGGCGATAAGACATTATACGTCTGTTGTTCCATTTTTTGAATTATAAATTTCCTATAAACATGAAAATCTGCGATCTAATGATTCCAAAAACAATCTTAAAACAGAGGAACATTTAACAAAGAGAAGATACAACCTTCGTAAAAGAATGTATTCTTTATTCGGCTTATATCCATCGCTGTAACACTAGAACTGCCAAAATGGACAGAATTCGTAACTTACAATTTCTGTTAGATATTTTATAAATGTCAGACAGTGTATTTCAAAGGTTTAAATGATTTTCCATAAGATAAAAAGTTGCACTCCTATTGTGTCTTTTACTTTACTGCCTCTGGATGGAAATTTTATGCCATAATCGCTGATAGCTCTAGCGTTCAACGCAATTTCTTACAACTGACCGTAACAATATATGCAACAAACAAGTATTATACGCCTTTAAATTGTTATAGAATTATTTAAAAAAAAAAAATAGAATTATTTTAAAAAAAGATCTATGCCAATTTCCGAGAAGATTTACTCGCGTTTGTTACCTGACGCTTGTATTTTCTCTATAAATAATTTCGCTATTTTTCATTGCCATTATAGTGGCTCGTGCCATTTCTGTCATTCCCAATCGTCTAGTCATCCAAACTCGCGCCAGTAAGTATTCAAAACGAAAAGATCACGCGTCGAGAACAGCAATCAATCCAACCGCAGTCCTAACTTGAAAAGGAACTGCCTTCTTTTTGAAAACGATTCGCGCCACTTTTCGAACGACCGAACGTTCGCCAAAAGTACCAACGAGAACGCGCGCACCTTGCACGTTACCAGTCCCAATTTCCCTGACACCGTGACTCCCCCTTCCTGCGGTGGAAGAGGTGGCGAGAGCGTCGGAGAGTGCCAGAAAAGAAGAACGTTGAGCCTGTTTTATTGTGAATCGAGGTTAAAGTCTCTGGCACGGGACCAGGCCGTTTCACCTAGGCCGTCGCATTCCGCCGGATGCACATGGCCACGCACATTATATGCCCCCTTATGTGGCGCACTCGTTTATGTACCACCGCGCACTGTGCTGCTCTGTTCTGCCCGCCTTCCTCACATACCGACCCGACCCGACCCGACCCGACCCGGACACCCTCCCCCACGGGCTGGCTTGATGTACGACCCGTGTACACACAGCCAGGCATTAAAAGGGGAGGCGGCCGGTCGTCTACGCGAGGGGGAAGCTCATGAAATAAATAGTTTGCGCCGCTCGTCGCTCCGGGCTTTGTGCCGCTGCTGTGCTCGCCCAGCGGCGTAGCCGGCTTTCTGCACGAGTCTTCGACTCGACGATACCCGCCCGGCAAGAATGCGGAATAAGTGGGCCGACCTGAGTGGAATCCCCCGAGCGCGGATCGAATTATTAATGTCTAGCCGCGAGAAAGAGATAAAGAGAGAGAGAGAGAGAGAGAGAGAGAGAGAGAGAGAGAGAGAGAGAGAGGACTGGTTAGGAATACACTCGTTGGACGATCGTATTGGAGAGGTCGGAGGGCTCGTTAGTCGCACGCGAGGCAACTAATCGATTTCACCGGCGAGATTGCAGCGCCCAGAACAGGTTTATGACGCTAGGTCGAACGTTCGCGGGTTTTTCTTTTTTTTTTTTTTTTTTTTTTTATTTATTTATACAACGAGCGGATTTTTACGGAAAAATTTACGTTAGCGGGAAATTTAGAGATGGAGAGATTTGAAGATATGGGTGATACGGGTGATTGAGGAAACAAGTCGACAGGGAGGAGAATTTTTTTTTCATTCGAAGCTTCAATTTTGGGAAAGAGAGTGTAGAATTTCTTTTCATAGAAATGGAGCTAAAGTTACGTGGAACGTTGCTTCAAAATTGTTCGACGAAAAAGAAATCCGTGAAAGATTTGAAAGACGATGATGTATAACTAAAATTTTCTTCCAACAAATGGAGTCAAAGTAAAAAAATTGTCCATGAAATTCAAAGAATAATAAAAACGATGCTGATACACACGCGATACATAGATTCACCTGATGGGAAAGAGAAACGAAAGAAAGTGAGACAACCAATTAAAATTTTCTTCCAATAAATGGAACAAAGTTACATGGAATGTTGCTCCAAAATTCCTCGCAAAAAAGGATCCATGAAAAGTTTAAAAGACGATAATGCACAACTAACTAAAAATTTTCTTCCAATAAACGGAATTAAAGTTACGTGGAACGTTGCTTCAAAATCCCTTGTAAAACATCATTCATAAAATATATAAAAGACGGTAAAGATGATACTGACACAGACACACGTTACAAAGATCCATCTAACGAGAAAAAGGATATATAACGATTAACTAAAATTTTCTTCCACTAAATGGAGTCGAACGTAGCACCAAAATTTGTCGTGAAAAATTTACACGTTACGAAGATCTATCCAACGAGAAAAAGGGAAACAACTAAGTCAAAATTGAAATGAAAGGGAATTAAGTTATAATAAACTTGATTAACTAAGAATTAACTTGTAATAAAATTATAAATTTAATTTAGGGAAATAAAGGAAATTAAAATTTTCTTTCAATAAATGATGAAAAGGGATAAAGTTACGTGGAAGATGGCTGGGAAAATTGCGAAAAAAATCGTGTCGATAAAGTGTAAGAGACAACAATAACGTGCGTGATGTAGATAAACGTGTATAGGGTAGGGAGCATCGGTGCAATTACTGTAACAGGGTCGTGTAGCGGTCGAAGGATATGCACTCTAGTCAGAGCGTTACAGCCGCCTCACGAATGATCCCATAATGCCATTAACGCACCGAGTAACCTCCGTTGCTGCCAGTGATATCGTTGCCGCAGGCGGATATAGGCGGATAGCACCTTTTTCCGGCATATGCTAATCTAATTAATGGCTACACGTAAAGACGAAGCTTTGTCCGTCTGTGTGTGTGTGTGCGCGAGAACTGTCTGTCT